CCACCTCAGGGGCTGCGAGCAGCGTGGAATCCACCTCAGGGGCTGCGTGCAGCGTGGAATCCACCTCAGGGGCTGCGTGCAGCCCACCTCAGGGGCTGCGTGCAGCTTGGAGTCCACCTCAGGGATGACAGTAACAGGGGTCTTAAAAGTCTCTAACTTAGATAATAAACAATCATACTCGGGGAGCAAAGAAAGACCAGGGATAGAAAGTAAAAAATTCTCCATCAGGGACAAAACGAGATCAAAGGAAGACAGGTTAGCTTTAGCAGAATTAAATAATTCTAATAGGGTCTGATTAATTTGAAAAATCTCCTCAGGTAAAAAGGAGTGAAAAAAGGGAACGTCTTTATGTGTGGGTGTGGTGACGGGTGCCGCCCCCACCGGAAACCTGGAAGGTGAGGCGGCGGAGCACGCCCCCACGGAGTCCCTAGGAATACGCTCCAGAGGTACGGCCAGGCTGGGTCGAACAGCCGCGGCGCGGAGTGGCGGTGAGAGGCAGGATTCCGCCCCCACCAGGAACCTGGAAGGTGAGGCGACGGAACCCGCCCCTGTGACGTCAACCGGACCCGACTCACCAAACCGAACAGGAGTGGATCGGAGCCCCCGCGGGACGCTGGATCTCACCCCCATCGGAAACCTGGAAGGTGAGGCGGCGGACCCCGCTCCCACAGAAACACCGGAACCAGCTCTAAAGTTCTGCTCAGCCGACGAGACCGGGCCGGTCGCCACGGACTGCCTCCGGAACCGTCTTCTGCCACTACGGCGGCAGTGGGACGGTGGAAGGACAGGAACGGAGTGGAGCTCGTCCATCTTAACTCGCGGAGGGAAAAAGAAAAAAGGTGAGTGTTGCCGAGAGAGACCCTGCCCGCTGGGTTCTAGTCTAGTTGCGTCGTAATGTTAGGATTTGTGGTCAGGGAGCAAACCCAGAGTGCAGAACAGGGACTCAACTCGGCAGAATTACAAAAATAGGAATTTAATGATAAACAAAGGTACAAAATAACAAGCTGACGGGGCAGCAAAACTTACATGAAAATAGGAAGGAGGCACGGGAAACTCAGGAGGACTCAGGAGACACGGGAGACTCGAGGAACCAGGAAGACTCAGGGGAAGACACAGGAGACCCAACGAGTACGACGCGACGATGAACAAGACAGAACAGACGGCTTATATACAGGGACAAGACGAGACGTGATAACAAACAGCTGGGACGAGACACGGGTGGCAACAATTGAACTAATGAGGGAGCACGAGGGAACACAGACACAAACCGGGCCACAGAAAGGTACCATCCTTACAGTACCCCCCCCCCCCCCCTCTCCTCAAGGACGCCTCCAGGCATCCCCAAAAAAAAACCCTCCCGAAGGACTTGGGCGGGTGGAGGGCGGCACTGCAAGGATGGAGGGCCCGAGGAAAACACGAGGACCAGAGAAAAAACACGAGGGAACACAAAGGATTCTGACGGTCAAGAGATCGTCCCTAAGAGTCATTGTTCCGGCGGGCGGCCGGGAGGCTGTCCATCAAACCGGGCCAGGTCACACAGAACCAGAGGAAACGCGGCTTGCGTCAAGGAGACCTGGGGAGCTGCAGCATGCGACGGAGAGACCTGGGAAGCTGCAGCATGCGACGGAGAGACCTGGGAAGCTGCAGCATGCGACAGAGACCTGGGAAGCTGCAGCATGCGACGTGGGAGCCTGGAGAGCTGCAACAGACGACGTGGGAGCCTGGGGAGCTGCAGCAGACGGCGTGGGAGCCTGGGGAGCTGCAGCAGGCGACGGAGAGGCCTGGGAAGCTGCAGCGGACGACGGAGAGGCCTGGGAAGCTGCAGCGGACGACGGAGAGGCCTGGGAAGCTGCAGC